GGCCCAGGGGACAACAGCAATTAAAAGTTTGTTGCCTGCTTCTCAAAACATCCTAGAACATAGGACATGCTGTCGGATGCAGTTCATCGACATACCTAGTAAAAAGAATCTTCATTGAGGGAGGGGTGCCGAGGTGCATACACACACACACACATACACACACATATATATATATATATATATTTAAAGTATTTTGAATTGTGTCTTTTCAGATTGTTGGTCAAAATTCAGATAGAAAACATACTTTTTCCAGTCGTCTTTTGACTAAAGTCTGCGCAGTATAGTTTCAACAATAAAAACAATTTTGCTCTGTGGGTCTTGAACAAAAACAAATGTGCCTGAGCGATCGTCTGCAGTAGGGATTGTCTAGCCAACCTAATAGACGGGTATCCTCGAATTTTCATTGGCTATATATATATATATATATATATATATATATATATATATATATATATATATCAGTTCCTATGCTGCTACATGTGCAAAAAATTTCTAAGTTATTTGGTAGACACTTTCTTACCAGAGATTTATTTTCTTCTGGTCTGGTCTGATGGGAAAGCAGACGTTTTTGGCGGATATTGGTGAAAGTAAGAGCTTAGACTATGTTTTATATGGCTGGAAAATATCCACCCAATATTCAGACGGTGGGTGAGGTTTGAGACGAGTGCCTGGGGTTCATGAATCAGAAGGAGTTGTAGAAGAATGTGTTTCCACCTAAAAGTAACGATAGATCAAACTAACTTTAAGTTAACTTGTTTTTCTTTTATTCTCATTTTTGAAGAATTCAAATATTCAATTTATTATTATTATTAGTAGTAGTACTAGTAGTAGTAGTAATAGTAGTAGTAATGATATGATGACAAAAGTAAAAAAAGTTTTAGTCATATATATTATTTTGGATATATACGAAGTGATATCGGTAATCTGCTGGCAGGCTCCATGGAAATAGCTGATTGGACACGGGCCTCGGTGATGAGTTCCTATTTTCTGCTGTTTTGTTGGCTATTAATCGCTGTAAAAATCAGCCTCTTAAAGTGATATGCTAGCGGTCTTGAAACATGCGTTCTATAAAATGGCAGCAGGTTATCGACGTAAGAATGCTCAAAATACATAACCATTTCCATGGTGGCAATGCTAGTTTTTTGGAACCAAAATAAAAACGTGATGTAAGCTGTCTTAATACTCGCAGGAGATTGACACCATGAATTTACAAAACCTCGCTAAATAATTGAACTTAAGTAGATAGTACTAATGCTGATTTTACAAGCATATAAATGCATAAATGTGGCAGAAGGCAGTAAGTATGGGGCACCGAGTAAGGATCTAACTCACTATTCAGTCGTAAATGATCTAGCGAAATATGCTTGCTCACCATTAAATCACGAATTCTAATAAATTATATATATATATATATATATATATATATATATATATATATATATATTATAAAATGGACAAAATCCGACAATTTTTAAAGACATTTTTATATTTAACATTCTTTTTATAGATACATTATTTTTAGTAAATAGGCCGGTAAATGTTATTTCATATTGTTTCTTATAAACAGAGCATTTACTAAAATACATATATAAAAGAATTTAAAATATAAACATATAAATATATTTATATATATATATATATATATATATATATATATATATATATATGTGTGTGTGTGTGTGTGTGTGTGTGTGTGTGTGTGTGTAAAATCAATGAAATTTTTTACTTTTATCTGCCGTGTCCCTTTCGGACGTAGGCGATAATCGCTCTCCACTTCCCTTATTCCTTTGTAGCTCTCAATAAGTTTTGTCACTTTGTTACTTTCCCCAGGCCATGTTCTGTCGTCTAATTGCTTAAGCCCTCTAGGTATGCGATGCGTTGCTTTCCGTTGTCTCTCTTTCTCTATTCGACCTATGAGTATCAGATTCTCCAGGCCTTCCTTTCTCATTACGTGTCCCAGAAATTTCACCTGCCTCTTCCTGATGTTAAGTATAAGCTTCCTCATTGTTTGCATCCGCGCCAAAACCTCATTGTTGCTTACACGCTCGCTTTTTTCATTATTCTGTAGAACCATACCTCCGTTGCCTCGAGTCCCTTCTTCATCTTTCAGGAGACTGTCCAACATTCGCTGCCGTAGAAGCGTAGTACTCTTTTATTTGTTACCAAAAATATCTATCTGTCTCATAATACTCTGTCTAGCTTTTGGAATGCGTCTTTAGCCATCACAATAAATCTTCTGGACTCATTAACTGTCTGTAAAATATATGAAATCATTTTCAGTATATGATACAAAACGGTTTGGTAACAAGAGATAGTACTGCCCATATCATTTGTCCCGCTCAGATTTGTATCCTAAATATTTGGGATGGAGCTTCTCAACTCTCATTTTACAGCCTTGACAGGTTTCAAAAACGGTTATCCGGCTTTGTGGGCGATTATTCCTTGCTTTACGGCTTTTTTTCCGACAAACGTATCAAGTCTATTACAACTGTATTACTATTTTCTTGACAAACGAGTTACATTTCCCAGTAAATTTGATTTGCAATCCCCAAGCTAAATATCTATTAATATTTTTTGAAATCGTCATATTTCTGTATAAATGTGCATGCTCAACTCGAATTAACAATTACAATTATAATAAAACCTACCATTTTGGTGTTATCGACCAGAAAAAAAAATGATTTAATCCCGTCATTCGCCTACAATTACGAGCTTTGTGTAATTAGATTCATTGACTGCGAACTTTGTAAAGAGCATGATTATCTACAAAATAAAATTACAAAATAAGAATAATGCTAGAAACGAAATAATAATTAATGCGCGAAATTTATAAAGAGCATGATTATTTGCAAAATAAGAAAAGCTTTGTATTATTAATTTAAAAAGAAAGCTTTACTATAAAAAGAAAAAAAAACGACAGTTGAAGAAAAAAAATCAAAACACTTGTCATTGCTCTTCGTCACAGCTTAAGTGCGAAGTAATTTACCAGTTGTTACAGCACTAAACGCAGTAAATAGGCCAAAATTTATGTTTGCGCAACGAAAGTAATCCGCTGTGAATCTAATTACACAAAGCCGGTAATTGTGGGCGAATGACCGCGATTAAATCCGATTTTATTTTCTGGTCGATATCTCCAAAACGGTAGGTTTTATCATAATCGTAATTGTTAATTCGAGTTCAGCATATACATTTATATATAAGTATGACAATTTCGAAAAATTTTAATAGATATTTAGCTTAGGGATTGAAAAGCGAATTTACCCATTTCCCAATCTAATCAGTTCAAACCATTACCATTCGGATATGCCATGCCACGTACAAGGAGCCGACACATCCTCATCCCCTTCATATCCCACTGGTGAGAAAGAAGTCCCTCTGAAAGATATCCTTTTCAACAAGTACTACTTTTGGGAACACTCTGACACTCTCTCTTTCTACTCCCTCTCTCTCTCTCAAGAGAGAGAGAGCGAGCGTGAGACTGTTCGCAAAAGTAGCAGTTGTTATTGAGAGAGAGTCTCACGCTCTCTATCTGTCTCTCTCTCTCTCTCTCTCTAGAGAGCGTGAGGCTGTTCCAAAAAGTAGCAGTTGTTATTTTTGAGAGAGAGTCTCACGCTCTCTATCTGTCTCTCTCTCTCTCTCTATTTTTTTAGAGAGAGAGAGAGAGAGAGAGCGTGAGGCTGTTCCTAAAAGTAACAGTTAAGTAAGAAAGAAAGAGACAGAGAGAGATAGAGAGGAGAGGGGAAAAGAGAGAGGGCCTGAGAGAAGATACAATACTGATCAATATAATTTTAAACTCTTCATGTCAAGGAGTCAAGCGTTATCCATCCTATATATCCTCATAATCTGCCTTTTAACTCTATATAACAACCTCAATCAATAAACACGAGAAGCTCTGAGAACTTGTATTTGGAAAACATTTAATAAAAGAAAAATCTCTGAAACCACTCGTTTCTTCTGAAGGATCGTCATTTTCAAATCCCCTCCGAGGTGTTATGGAAAAGAACAATAGCCCAAGTTAATTTTCACCTGTCAAAATTTCCATCAATGAAGAAGGATCCGTAAACACTTCTTGATGATGACCCCGTCTAGACATTACCTTCGAGCGAGATTTACCGATTACAACTGTGTTTAAATTCCCCATCATTCCTTGTTCCTTATTTGTTTAGTCAATAATGTTTTCTTTACGTTTTATAATATTTTGGCTTTAGTCTATTTTAGATTTCAAATGTCGTAATTACTCTATTTAAATCCCGTGTCTGAAAAGGTGAAGTTTTTAGGAGAACTGTGAAAGAAAATGACAGTAGTACTCACAGGTCATACTAAAGGGTATAGAGACAGAAGGAAATAAACTCACCTAAGTTCTTTTCCTTTCTGTCCTTTCAGGGCTTAGGCGATCATGGCTCTCCACCTCTTCCTATCCCTTGCAGCTCTTATCAAGTTCCTTCACCTCCCCCAAACCACGTTCTGTCATCCACTTGCTTAAGGCCGCTAGTTATGTCATGCGTTGTTTTCCCTTGTCTATCTTTCTCTCTATTCGACTCGTGAGTATCAGATTCTCCAGGCCCTCCTTCCTCATTATGTGTCTCAAAATCTTCAGCTGCCTCTTCCTGATGTTAAGTATAAACCTCCCCCTTTTTTGAATCATGTCTAAGATCACATCGTTATAAATCGATGTTAAGGTGACAAAAAATAGTCTATCTTTAACAAAAGGTCTACGACAACATCATATTGAAGTACCGGTTGCTGGACGTTCAACGAAGTTAAGCAATGTCAAGCCTGTTACTACTTAGATGGTTGACCGCTCGAGAATACCAGTGCTGTAATCTTGAATTTGCGGACGATATGACTAAAGGTCACATCACATTAAAACCCCCAGTTCACGTACGATCAGCTAAGTTAAGGAACGTCGTGCCTGGCCAGTACCTAGATGGGTGACCGTATTTTAATAGCAGATGCTGTAAATTTGGATGTGCAGATGCTGTATCGTATAGCTACATCACGTTGAAACAGCGGTTCCCGTACGATCACCGAAGTTAAGCAACGTAGAGTCTGGTCAGTACCTGGATGGGTAAAAATACGGGAATAGCAGGTTCTGTGATTTTTAATGTACGGATGGTATGGCTAAGGCTATATCATTTTGAAACGTTTTTCCCCTAGATTCACCGAAGTTGAGGAACGTCGAATATAGTCATTTCCTAGATGGGTGACCGCTTCAGAATAGGAGAAGCTGTAAGCCTGGATGTGCGGGCGGTGTAATGAATGATGGCTTGGAATTATTAATCGGAGAGTCGAATTTTAATTCCACTTGTGCTCGTTATATTCACTTACTCGAAAATACCCTTAGGTCAGTTATGAATACACTGCATCTCCCCATCTATGGGTTAAATAGTAAGGCGTCTATCACTAATACCATTATTACCTAAAAAATAAATAAATAAAATTCGTATAAAATGTTTAGATTTCGGGATTAAATAACACAAAGAGGTTGATATGCACTTAAACAAAACTGACGAAGCAACTTTATCATGAACAATGATTGAGATATAAAATTTAATGTGAGATGTGGTGAGGCTGTGACTGCTGTGTAATGAAGGGACATTTTTTTTTATTTGGTAGAAATGTCTTATTCAAAAAATTATTTGGGCTTCGATGTTGCCATTTAAATATTTCTTAGTTGGAAAGCGTTATATAATATTAAGAAATTTAAAAAAATAATAATTGGATGTAAGGGTTGTGTAATGGATAATGGCTCGAAGTTGTTAATCCAAAAGCCAAGTTGCAATTACGAGCTACTATCCCTAGGAAAGGTATGACTCTACCTCTTGTCCCCCAGCTATGGGTTAATTAGTAAAACTTGTATCTCAAAAATTATTATCACCAAAAAGAATAAAATAAATATGCGTACAAAATATTTAGATTTCGGTATAAAATAACCCAAAGACGTTGATATACTGCTAAACAGAAACGAGTAAGCAACTTTAACAAGAAGAGTCATTAGGATGTAAACTTTAACGACATTAAAGTGGGCTGTTTTGAGGCTATGACTGCTGGGCATTGAAGGAACTTTTTTTTTTTATTTGGTAGAAATGTCTTGCTCCACTTATTCAAAAAAAATATTTTCGTTTTCTTAGTAGAGAAGCGTTATATAATATTAAGAAAAATTAAAAAAAAAAAAAAAACATTGATTAATGTTCTGTAAAACGCTTGGTCGATTCAACTCAAAATCATCATCGCCGATTCCGTCTGGAATGACCAATTGCTGCAGACGTTTCTGTAAAGAAAAGCAGACACGGATCAAAGCAATACTTAAGAGTCAAGTCTCGATTCCAATTAATGGAAAATTTGATCTCTGTTCAATTTATAGCGAAACAAAATTATTCATAGTTGTGTTTGTATAACGCTGGAAAACTTCATCAACTTTTTTTTTTATTGCAGGTGAACGAGCAATGTATCAATGGTCGGTAATTTAAAATAGCGAAAAACGATGGTAGATAATTGTGTGGGCAATTGAAGCGGAGGGGAAAGTGACTTGTTGAGGTGAACTGATAAATGGCGGAAGGGTTACGAGAAAAATATATAAAACCGGGGAAATAAACCGGCATTGTTATGGGGGAGACAATCATTAATTTCTTGCTTGAGTAATTGATCGATGTCAAATGTTTGCTTTTCAAGTTTGGCAGATCCTCCCACTATCCTTGTGGCAAACTAAGCTAAGCTTAATAAAAAAAAAAAAAAAACAACTTCAATCCGTTTTGGATATTTCATGTTTTCTACTTCATTGTTTTTCGAAATTAAACTTAGTAAATATTATATATTTTTTTTTATACACAATATATATATATATATATATATATATATATATATATATATATATATATATATAGTTAAGTTTGAAGAATTTGGTAAACCGAATTGGTAAATCCAAGGAGGATGAAATCCTGAGAGCTCAATGTGAAGAACAGAGCTAATATTTAATGAACAACAGTGTTATTTGATGATCCAAAATCCCTTAAAAGATTTTGGTGAAATAAATTTGTCATGGTACCTTTTTTTCTCTGTTCATTAAATATATATATTTATTTTATTTTATATACAATATATATATATATATATATATATATATATATATATATATATATATATATATATATATATTGTATAAAAAGTATTAAAAATTAAAATCTTCAGACACACTGGGTTTTTATATTAATATTAAAAAGGTTTTTTCTATTAACTAGTTTCCACTCAAAATGGTTTTCATCAGCAAAAAAATAAATTGCTTGCTGGTAACAGTGAACTACAGAAATGAATAAAATTGATGGAGAAAAAAATGAATTTTGCCTTTAGTTTTCATTTTTTTTTTTTGTATTTTTTATATTTTTTTAACGCGAATTTTGTCATCTTTGTGTTTGTCAAACAGTCTCTTTTAAGTTGTTATTTGAGATAAGAGCTAGATGGATTCATGCTGCCTGAATTCCCTTTGGTCATTTTGACAGTTTTAATGGTCCCTGGAGAAATCATGTATCTCTGTTAATGTGTGTGTGTTATTTGGTTCTTAGGGAACTGAGTGATTTTGATGTGTGTAATGTATATTCCTGTGGGTGTGTGTATATGTGTGAGGCCTCAACACCTTAAAATATTTCTAATGTTATCTACTATATATATATATATATATATATATATATATATATATATATATATATATGTGTGTGTGTGTGTGTGTGTAAGCAAATATATGGATATAGATCCGACAGTATGAAGAAAAATATACTGAAAAAACAAACAAAAATCCTAATATGCGATTATGCTGTTTTAATGTTTAATGTCGACCTCAGACGTTTCGGTCTAATAGACCATCTTCAGGAAATATTCATAAAACATAATTAACATAGACCATATACAATTCAACATGAAAAAGACGATGGACATAAAAGCAATACCAATCCAAATAAATAACTGAAATCTTTTATAAGATCAGCGTTCCGTTTAAATATGATCACGTCTTCATTTTAGGAATACGTTTTTTTTTCATCGCCCACGTTACGACAATGTGATCATATTTAAACGGAACGCTGATCTCAATTTAATATTGTTTTTTAATTAAAGGCATGGGCTATATATATCCCTGACAATGAGTTTAGTGGAATCTTTTCCAAACAATACGAGGGCTCCAACTACAACAGGAAGTGGCAATATGAAGACTTATGAAGGTGGATTCAACTGGGAAGAGAAGTAAACGAAGACGATAAAGATCGAATAATTATGAGGGAGAATAGAAGTGAAAATAAGATAAATTCAGATATAATTGGAAACAAGTAGGATGAGTCTTTTCAATTTAATAACATAATAAAAACAAATGACATTAAAGTTAACCAACCAATATCTGGCCCAGTCCGCAACTGATTGCAGGTGTCTTTAAAGGACCTACAGTTTTTTGTTGACTGGGGTAAAATAATTATTTTTAAATTTCATGCCTCAAAAACAATGAACTGCTTAAGATTTCTACTCACCACAGTGAACCAAATGTCCAGGTTAGATTGGTGACGCTCAACTCAAAAGAATTCAAACAAACTTTTTGTCGGTCTCACATTGTCTGCTGACCTGAAATGAAACGAATACATTGATGAAATAAATTTCCAAAACCGCTAGAAAAGTTGCCTCCCAAAACGCGCCAAAAAATTTTTCACCGTAGTCGATCCTTCAAATCTAAAAAAAACCAATTTTCCCCTGTGGAGGATTTATTTATCTGGATATATAGTCTGGATCCATCTAATTGTCTCACGGTCCTTGATAAAATCCAAAGACGGATATACAAAAATTTGTTTTGGGTTCTGATCTGGAATCTAGTTGCAATTGCAATTCTTAATAATAAAATAATATTGCGATCTGTCTGTTTTTTACAAATATTTTTGGTAACTGTATCATGAGTTGTTTTTTTATTGTTCCGAGACTTATATGAATTTAATAAAATCAACTAAACTGGCATCTCGCTCTCAACCTTTTTAACGAAACTTTAAATGTAAATACAAATAATCAACAGCTTCATGTCTCGCATATGATCGCCTGTTGAACTCCCTCCACATTTTTTTTCATGATAACTATAATCTCAACTATTTAAATGTAACGTCAATCGACGTCTCCAGATTTTTGATCTATCCCCTAACCTTCTCTTCATCCTTTTCTCTATCATTCATCTTTGTTCTCGCTCCAACTCTCTGTAATCACTTGCGTGCTAGTGGCTTCCCGCCTTGCTTGGGATAGAATACTAAAAAAAAATAATAGAATATTAAAATGGTTAATAGAAATAGGATATAAATATAAAATAAAAATATAAATGTATTATTTAAATATGTTTAATATATCAGGTCATCCCATAAGTTCTGTCCGAATTTTGAATAAAGAAAACAAGTGACCAAATGTTACATTTAATTACAGATTCAATCAACAATGTATTTTCCCTGATTATCTATTAACAAGCTTACTAATTCCATTACTGTAAAATTCTTTTGGCTTTGATTCGAAGAACTCACAAATGTCAGTTTTAACCTCTTCCTGTGTTACAAAAGCTGTTTCTTCCAAATGATTCTGTAATCTACGAAACAAATGGTAGTCTGAAGGAGTAAGATCGGGAGAATTAGGCGGATGAGGAATTTTCTCCCAACCAAGTTCTTCGATCTTTTGTGACGTGATTCTTGCTGTGTGGGGTCGCACATTGTCCTGATGAAACATCACCTCTTTTCGATTCACTAGAGCAGGTCTTTTTTTCCATCAAAGCTTGGTTCAAACGCTCTAATTGCTGACAGTATATTTGAGCATTAATTGTTGCATTAGGTGGTAAGAATTCAAAGTGGATTATTCCTTGGCGATCCCACCAGATTGAAAGAAGAACCTTTTTGCCCATGAAGTTCCCTTCTCGGCTGTGGCTGGGGTCCTTCCCTTTACCAAACCACTGTCTACGACGCTTAACATTCCGATAAAAGATCCATTTTTCGTCACCAGTCACAAGTCTATCCAAAAAAGGTGAAACAAGTTGGCGAGAATGGAGAGAAGAGCAGATGTCAACTCGGGATTTCAGGGTTTGTTTTCAGAAAATAC